GAGGCACTTACTGTGGTGGCTCAGTGGTCACTGCTGGGCTGGTTGCAGGTGTCTGGGGGTGTGGCTGAGGCCCTCAGCCTGGGGCACTTCCTGCAGTGGCTCAGTGGTTGTCCCTGGGCTGACTGTGGGTGTCAGGGGGGAGTGGTGGAGGCCTGAGGTCCCCTACCATCCTGGCTTGGGAGAGTCTGGGGCCCTTCAGGCTGCTGCTTAGTGGTCATTGCTGGGCTGGCTGCATGTCTCAGCAGTCCCGGCTGAGCCCAAGGCCTCCCACCGCCCTGGCTTGGGAGAGCCTAGGGTGCTTCCTACAACTGTTGGTCATCACCACTGGGCTGGCTGCAGGTGTCTCCGGGGCATGGCCAAGGCCTAAGGTCCCCCACCATCTCAGTGCGGGATAGCCTGGGGCACTTCCTGTGGCAGCGTGGTGGTCACCCCTGGGCTGGCTGTGCATGTCAGGGGGGCGTAGTTGAGGCTCTCATTCCCCACCCTCAGGACTGGTTGCAGGTGTCGGGGGCATTGTTGAGGCCCCTGGACCTCCGCCCTTTCTGGCTTGGTCGCCATGGGACTTCCAGTCCTTCTAGGTGTTCTTTGGTGAGATGAGATCTTTACTCAAACTTTGTCTCTGGTTGTGGGTACCTTGTTTTTTCTTTCAGTTCTGTGTTCGGTTATTTCCTGTTCCCACCACTTAAACTCTGGGCTGGAACTAATTTATTGTCCTTTGCTTACCTCTAAAATGGGGGAACTTCCTGTGGGGACTAGTACTTGAGCTGTGTGGTTGAGCTAGATTGCTGCTTTGCTGCTGTTTCCCTAAGGAAGGCTTTTTGTGCAGCTCAGGGCTTATTGGTTGGCTTTATAGGTACTTCTGGTTCTCATGTGATCCGGTACACCTGGGTTGTGTAGACACTCTGGTCTGGGCCTGAGTCTTTTCATCAAACTGCTCCCCATGCAATTCTATATTCCTGACCAGTCTCCTCTGAGTGGTCCTGCACTGATTGGGGGCAGATCAGCTGTCCTTGCTATGCCCCAGTGTTCCCCTGGTAGGCCCATGTCCCCCACCACCCATGCTGCAAACACTTCCCATGGGACAATCCATGCTTCAGTCCTTTGTGATGACTCACCAGCCTCCGAGTGGCTCCTTTTTTTCAGCTGTTCTGGCTCTTCACTCCTATGTGGGTCCATAGGAACCCTATTAGTGGTCTTGCTGGCCCAGGGGCCACCAAGGCCCTCTTCTCCCCTGCCGCCTCCAAGCAACTTCATCCAAAGGGCATAGCTGTGATTTTTGCCAGCTCTTGTTCTGTGTGCTCAGCAGGTCCAGCCTTAAAGTGGCTGAGGCTCCAAATGGTCAAAGCAGTATTTTCTTTCTCTCATCGTGGCTTCTCCTGCCTTCATGCATTCCGTAGGTCTCTACTTCTCTTCCCCTGAGCTCTAGTGGACCCAGCTTGGCTGTTGTTGCTTTTTATAGTTGTAAATTGGTTGATTTGTGGGAGAGAGTGATGCTGGGACCATCTATTCCACCATCTTGACCAGAAGTCACATGACCACCTTTAAACTATCAACTTAATCACTTCTTCAAGGCCCCCCTTTCAGTTACCATAATAGAATTTCCCACCCTCAACAGTTACAGTGAGAATTAAGCTTCTAATATATGGACATTGGGGGACACAATTCAATCAATCCACAGCAATTACTGACAGATTTAGATCAATATGAAGAGAAGGCATAGCAAAAGAGAGTAAAGTCTCAATTTCCCTATGGAGTACAAATGCTTATATAACCCTCTTCATAGGGAAAGAGAAGATGGGGGTATAGGAATAAATGATTCTTAGGGGAATGCAATGGGTCTGAAGAAATACAATGACCTGGGACAAAGCCCATTTGGCCCCCAGAGCAGACAATGACTGGTAAAAGATTTTCTTCAAAATAGTGTATGGGACTGAGATAGAAGACAATAATCTGTGATAAAAGTTACTGCAGATGTATTAACAGACTCCAGTCTTCCTTCCTGTGATATGAGTTAAGTTAATGAAAACATAGGGACAGGACCAAAGGTACCTGTCTTCTTTGGTGGGTCCAGACTTTAGGCTAAGTGAACACCTTCATCCTGTGCTTTGGAGAGAAACAGGATTGAGAGATGGGTGGTGGAAGGAGAAGATCAGATATACCTTGAGGCTGCTTCTTTATTTCAGCATGTCGAAACACCATATTTTGGGGTAACAGCTTTCTGCACCCCAACAATATTCTTTGAGAGAGAAAATTTGAAATTCCTCTTTAATTAATTTGGCCTAATGACTGATTTTCTTTGTGTGTAGAGGTAAAGTCAAGCAGAGCCCTGGTTTGATTATGGTTATTGAAGAAACTGTTGGATAGGTACTAGGAGAACTAAGAGAGTGTAGTGATAGTCATACAAATTTACTACTGCTACTGTGCTAAAAAGGGATTATACTTAATGTAGCTATATTAGGCAGTTCTCCTTTCAAGTTGGAAAATTTATAACATAGTTTAAAGAGTAATGCTATGAGTGAGGGGATGGGGCATTGCCTTTCTTCCATAGAATAAAACATGCTTTTCACCCTGTTCCATGCACATAGTCCTGACACAATGTGGATTCTGAATAGGTGCTAGCTGAGCTGATATGTTCTATAATACAATTTGCAAGGCATTGTGTGGATGGCTGCTCAAGCATGGTCACATTTATAAAGACACCTGCATTTATAACCCCAAGTTCCGTGAGGCACTGGGTTAGTCTGCTTCATTGTCTCCTAATAGAAATGTATGTTTGTTTTTATAAACAACTCCTGATTTGCAAGACTGCTCATTTGAAATAAAGTCGTAAAGAAATAATGGCTCAAGAATAGGTGAAGCTGTTTGCGGCCTATTTGGGGTTGTGTTGCACACCCATGTCTTGGTGGGCACACGTGTGTAGTCTTTTTTTTTTTGGCTTCTTCCTTTCCCTGGTCCTCTCATATTTCTTCCCTCCTTTCCCCTGCTTTGTTGGTCCTTGGGATCACGAATAGAGGAGTGGGAGCTTACTGGGTCTAGCCATAGTTTAAAGTCTTCTGTCCTCATTACTAGGATGGATTTCTATGTAGATTGGTTCTCAGGTTTTTAAGGTATAAATATGTATGGACTTATGCATACATATCCACGGCCTCTATGGTGAATTAGGGAACATAGTGAGGAGAATGGCATATTTGTATTTATGTATAGGTATTTGTGTAGGATTTCCTTTCTCAATCCATAATTTCTTTTAGGCAGATGATGCACCATGGCTTGTGAAACATTCCAAAGGTTTTGCTGCATATCTTTTATTCAAATTTAAAAATCAAAATATAATATTTTCTTAATGATATAATAAATTCAAATTAAGCATTTCATTTCAATTTATATGCATATCCCCTCACAGGATTATTTAATATTTATTAATGTACATTGTGATTGAGTTTTAATAGTTAGGTTGGGAAAACAGTCCAAAATTACCATTCCAGTACTTGTAATTTTTTTTTTTTGGCTGATAGTGACACCAGCTTTATGACTTTATTGTCTCTGGTAGCCTGGGAAAGGTGGACCATGAGGCAATGGGAGGAGGGGCTGGGGAGCTGTGTGACCAGAGTCTCAGGTGCTGGGTATCTGGGGTGCCTCTGCCTGTGGATACACATTGGTGTTGCTGGTGCAGCCACTGGACACAGTGGGTGCCTGTCCTTTCATGCTTGGTGCAGGACAGGAGGCAGCCACAGGCAGGACTTGCCTGAAGCTGGGACCTGTGCGCTCCATCTTGAACTCCAGGAGCATGTGGTTCTGTGGCAGGAGCCCTACACAGGCTCTGGGGATGTTCTCCACGCAGGTGCGCTGTACTTGTAAATTTTTAAAGTCCACACAATGCGCTTACCCTTTATCTTTTTCACCAAATTCTTTAGCACATGATACAGATTATGCGAGTCACTTCTCCCGGTTTACTCTTTTCATCTGCCATTCATTCATTGATTCAACATTTTGATTGTTTCTTCACCAAATTCTTTAGCACATGATACAGATTATGCGAGTACTTCTCCCGGTTTACTCTTTTCATCTGCCATTCATTCATTGATTCAACATTTTGATTGTTTACTATCTGCTTGGCAAGGTGCTAGGAACTGAGATTATAGTACAAAGAAAAAGGTCAAGGTTCCTGTCCTCAAGAACATCTCTCAGTCCAGTGTTGGGGTGTTGTGTGCAGACCCTTATTGGTATGCAAGGACCACTCGATACAAAATTATTGATGTTCGAATCACACGGTTTATTGATCACACATAACACACTTTTTACTTTTTAGTACTCTATGTCCTAGCCTACTTTAAACGATCCCTTAAGGGCACACTGCACACAATTCCTATTTTTTATCCTGTTAGAAACAGGTCAGGGATCTTCGTCTCCCGCACGAGGTCCTTTCTTTACTCACATCCCCCAGGAACCGGATACATCTGATTGGGTGTAACTGATGAACCTTGAGAACATGGCTTGAGAGCAGCGTACACCTGGGTCCCTCCTCAGTGCTGAGTGCAGAGGCAGCACTCAAGCATCCTTACCCTCGCGGGCTAAAGGTCCCGTGGGCTTCAACAAAACTGGTTTCCACTCTGTGTGACAGTAGCCCATGCCAAGAAGTGTCAATTCCGATCTGTTTCCATCCACTGGACCAAGGATCCAAGTGACTGGCCAGCAACCTGCCACCACTGACAGATGCAGCAACTTGGGGCTTTTGCCTGTTTCTTTATATTTTGTTTGAAATCTGGCCTGGGCTGATATCTCACTGTCGTGCCCTCGCAGATGGTCCCTCCATTACCAGATTGTGATATCTCAAAAGGGCATAAACTGGCAGGGTGTTTTTGCCTGCCAGGTCCATAATGTCACCAGTGACATAAGTCCCTTGACCAAAGTTTCTCCATGTTCTCTAGATAACTAAATCTATTTCTGCTATAAAACAAACACAAACTAGTAAAAATATCACACAATTTGTACTCTCAACACAGGGATTGGTGGAACACAGCAGCAAACAAGCCGGGAGAGGCCTTATTCAATGGTACATATTCCTTCTTCCAGCTCTAAAAATTATACGTCTACCCAAAAGTCCTAAATCAACGAATCAGTTTTCCAAAACCATACAACTCCACCTAAGAAACTAGGAATGAGGATGCAACTATTCTGACTTGATTTAAAACCACCACTGCCAATTCTTTGCCTTCCTAATCCTTACATCTACCACCGAAGTTCAGCTGTAACACACTTAGCTCGTCACAGGGCCTGCTAGCGTTCTGGAAGTTTATAATTAAGTTCAGTGTTTGTGTGGGGGATGGAGTGGGGAGGAAAACAGCCATTAATTATAGAGTTTCGTTGGGGAGAGCCCGCCAGGCTAAGTAGCAGAAACACGAGAAGCGGATAAAGCTTTCCTCATTTTAAAACAAAAGACGCAGGGAAGTTCCCCGCGGAACGTGGGGTGCCCTCACAGCCCCCGGGGACGCTTGACAATCCCCCCACCGCCCACCCCCGCACCTCACCTCCCGTTGCCCAACCTGCGGCCCTGGTCCAGGTATTGTGCCGCTGAGCCGGGCTCTGAGGGTCTCGGGACAGACGGCGACAGCGCTCGCGGAAGTGCTCTCGGCTCTCGGCAGTCGTAGGACGACTCTCCTCCCCCACTTCCTCCTTGGGCTCGGCGGCTCAGCATCCCGGGCCGGCCCCTCCTCCTCCCCGGCCTCCTCCCACTGCCCGCGGCAGCTCTCGGGCCGGAGGTGGGGCGCTCACCCTGGCAGTCCCCAGCCCAGACGCAGCATTCAGCGGCCGAGCGGGAGGGACGCGAGGGGCTGCCCGCGCCGCCGTCCCCGCCTCGCGCGCCCCGCGCCCCACTTCCCGGGCGGCCGCCCCACCGCGCAGCCCCC